GGGGGGTTAAGACCTGGGCTCCAGCGCCTCCTGGAACCACCCCTCTCAGCCTTCAGCCTGCCTGTGTCTCTCTGTCAGCCCCCTATTTGTCCCCAGTCCAGAAGCGACCTCCTTCTAGCTGAGCCCCCTGTATTCCCTCCCCCACCAGCCCCACCTCCGTTCTTTGTCTTTGTTCCTGGGCAAACAGGTCACCACAGCCCCCTCTTCTCCATCTTTTGTTCCCCGACTGGCCAGAACCGGCTGCCTTCCAGGGCTCCCTCTCCTCTACCCTTTGTTCTCCCACGGGCCAGATCCGGGTGGCTCCCAAGATGGGCCAGGCCTCTGGGTCACTGGTTGCTAAGTTCCACAGTGTCCAGGCCAATGTCCATGGTCAGGGCTGCTAGGCAAGATCACACCTGGCCCTCTGCAATCACAATCCCCCTCTCCCACCACCTCATTACACACGCAGCACACAGGGAAACTGACCCCAGTCCCCATGATCTCCATGTTATCAGCCATGTCAGGTTTTGATCTCGATCTAGAGGATCCAAGGATTCCCAGTGAATCTCTTTTTTTTCCTGCATCTGAACCTGGTAATTCCCAAGACCCAGGAAAAACAAACGAGTCAAATCTTGAGCTTACTACAATGCACAAGGATCCCTTGCCCAGCACTGAGATGCAGCTGCCTCTGGGGTGGAGTGTGGGGGCTGTTTATATAAGGAACCCTTGCTCAGCTGGTGCTGACATGCAGCCACCTCCAGGTGCGGCATCTGTTTAACAGCAGCCAAGGGAAACCTCCCAGGCAGCTAATTAAAACGCGTCTGAAACCAAATGGGGATTAACCAAGGCAGAATGTACCACACTGTAGCAGGGTGATCACCCCGCTCCTGCCCAGAGGGGTTAAAAAGCAGCCCTGGGAGGGCTGTGGCTGGGGAAAGGCTGATTGGGGAAGCAGCCTCAGATGTGGCCACGTCCCAATCAGGGCCCAGCTGGCCCTTACAGTACATCTATACTCCCCTCCAGATCAGCGGGTAGAGTTCGATGTAATGGGGATTGATTTATCGCACCTTGTCTGGACGTGATAAATGATCCGCGAATCGACGCCCGTACTCCACCTCGGCAGGAGGAGTAAGCGGAGTTGACGGGGGAGCCGCGGTGGTCGACTCTCCACCGTGAGGACGGCCAGATAAGTCAAACTAAGACACTTCAACTTCAGCTATGCGAATAGGGTAGCAGAATTTGCGTATCTTAGTTCGAACCATCCCGCTAGTGTAGCCCAGGCCTTATAAGAGGGCAGTGGGCCAGGAGCAAGCAGTCCCCCTCTAGCTGAGGAGGGGGATGGACGTGGCTGCTGGAGTGCTAAAGGGTACTGGAGTGAAGTAGGGCTGGGAAAGGCCATAGGAGCTGGGGAGCTCTGGGCCAGCAACTCTCCAGGCTGCAGAGCCTTGTAGAAGGCCCCTGGAGGTATTGGGTTGCAGGGAAATACAGCAGGTCAAAAGCTCCCTTGCCTATGATGACTGGCTTATACAGACCTCAGTCAGCCCCAGTGAAAGGGGGCTAGATGGTGACTGGTAGTAGCCCATAGGCTGAGGCAAGGTGGGTGGGGGTTCCCTGGGGAGCGGAGACCCTGAGAGAAAGGGGTTACTGCCAGAGGGCAGAAACCCCAGATAATGGGGCACTGGATCCGGGAGGGACATGGGGGCCAAGCAGCAGTGGGACACCAGACTGCAGAGGCTGGACGAGCTAATTCCCAGAAGCGAGCAGCAGGAAGTGCCGTGCTGGTGAGTCCTGCAACGCTACACACCCCAAACTAGGGACTGGCCTGGACACCGGGGCCTGCCCCAGATGTTGCCCCAAGGACCAGGGATCTGCCCTGATCCGCAAGGATCCAGCGCAGTGAGTTATAACCCACTCGACCTGGCAGCCACTGTCCCAGCAGGAACCTGCCCCGGGCTCGTCCCATCCGCCATTGGCTGGGGACCTGTGTCCAAGCGGCCGCACCCCAGTGTTCAATGGGACCCTCTAACCTGCTCTCCACGGCTCTCGCCCAGCCCCAAACTGGGGCCAACTAGCCAGAGGTGGAGCACATGCACCAACTGGAAACTTCCTGTTGTGCAAGATCCGCTCAGCAACCAGCCTCCCAGCACAGCCGCTGGTGCCCACACGCAGAGGGCAGAGCTGATGTGCCACTGGCCTGGGGCAGAGCGGGCCAGGGTCTGGCTGGGGTGGGAGGTTGCTTGGGCTGGTCCCAAAGCCCCTAAGGGGAGCTGTGTTTCTTTTAGTTATAGGTTTCTCCCAAGCCCTTATGTATCTCAACACTGGGCAAGAAGTCCTTGTATAAACAGCCCCCGTGCCCGACCCCAGAGGCAGCCACATCTCAGCGCTTGGAAAGGGTCCCTGTGTAAACAACCCCCAGAACCCAGGCCAGATTCAGCTGCGTCTCAGCTCTTAAGTCGAAGGATGGAGTCTCTGGTGGGTGGTGCAATCCAGCTGCTTCTCCTGATCCAGCCGATGACCCGGGTCCCATCACAAGGGAATCCCCAGACTCAGTGATCCGGGACCTGGGAGGCGTTGGAGGAACTGAGAGTCAGAAAACAAACATCTGTGCTCAATGGACCAGCTCGGATCTGCTGACGTCTCTCCTGCTGAGAGACCCTGGGTCCCATTTCCACCTCCCAAAGCCAGCCAGTGCCCCACCCTGTGGCAGATTAGAGCCAGGACCCCCTAGAGGGGAAAGACCCCATGTCACATTCCCCTCACCCACAGACAGTCCCTCTGTGGTGGGGCCGGAAGCCGGCTGTCAGTGGGAGCTGCCTGTATCTCTGACAATCTCCCTCTTGCGTTGATGGCACTGAAATCTCCAGCCCTGACTTCCCCTTCCTGTCGTGAAATCTCACATCTTGCCCCATTTCTCGCCCTGACACTTGCATCCGCTGCCTCCCAGGCAGGTCTCCACAGGCACCCGGCTCTTCCTATTGGAGTCGGGATTCACCAGCCATCGTAACCGGACATCTGCTGTTCCAGTGCGCTGTTCCCAGCCATTCCGCCCCAGAGTCGGACGCATTTCAGCGTCGGGTGAGCAACCCTGGGCAGTGTCGCTGTGTGGCTATTCCGCAGCTGCTCCGCCCCGGAGGTGGCTGCATCTCAGCTCAGGGTGAGTGATTAGTATCGGCAGCATGTACAATATGATAAGAGTTGTGAGCTGCTAGCGTTAAAATATTGTGTGACTGGAAAAAGCAGTGATAAATGGATAGAGCTGGGACATGGACAGGTAGCCAGGACTCCTGGGTTCTATCCCCAGGTCTGGAAGGAGAGTGGTGTGTAGAGTGTCTCAGAGCCAGGACTCCTGGGTTTTATCCCTGGCTCTGGGAGGGGAGCAGGGCCCAGTGGGGTTTTGGAGGCAGGGAGTCAGGACTCCTGGGCTCTATCCCAGCTCTGGGAGCAGAGTGAGGTGTGGAGGGGCTCAGAGCCAGGACTCCTGGATTCTATTTCCAGCCCCACAAGGAATATGCAGCCTGCCACTGTTTCAGGAAAGCGACAGGCAGCCCCAGCCAGAGGGAGGGGAGGTTGGCAGGATGCTGGTGCTGGGGTTTCTGAGAAAGCATCTCCCCACAACTCCTCCCATCTGTAACCACTTCTGCTTTCAGGTTCCTGTACAGGCTCAGAGTCACAAACCCTGGGGAACCCGGGCTGCAGGGTCAGAGAGCCAGGCAGAGGGCCCCCCGCTGCAGGTCTAGGGGTAAGTGGAACTAGGGTGGAGGAGGGAGCTGGATGGTCTGCAGAGACTGGTGTGCCCCTCAATCCCAACCCGCAGCCCCTTGCTATCCCAGTCCTCGGCTCCCTACCCCCACAGCTCTGCTGGTGCCCCTCCAGCCCAAGCAGGGTCCCGCCCCAGGGCTCCCCCACCATGGGGACCACACTGGAGGAGGCGGCTCAGGTGGCCACGTACTGCAGGGAGTTCCCCAGCTCTCATCTCTCAGCCTCCTTCCCGAGAACACCTGAGGGCAGCAGAGGGATGGTGGGAAATGGAAGTGCCGGGGGCAGTTTTGGGGGGCAGGGAGGACAGGCATTGCAGAGGGGGCAGATGTAGATACCCCAGGGGGAGCACATGCATGCAAACTTCTCCCCATCCTCTAGCTGTGCTCACCCCATTGCCCCCTATGGAGCTGTGTAGGGCACAGGCCCCCTGGGGCTCCCATACACTACACAGGGCCAGGCCAGCCCAGCTGAGACCTGCCCAGCTCACTGCACCAGTGACCAGCCTCAAGGCTGCAGAACTCCAGCTTTGCCAAGAGGGGGAGCCCTCCTCTGGCTGCCCTGCACACTTGCCCCGCCTCCTGGAGAGGGGCAGCCAATCAGGGGTGCTGTAGGAGGAAGGCATCTCCCCGCTCAGGAGCTGAGAGGAGTTTTTAGGTAGGGGAGGAAAACGTGGGAGCAGCCTTGTGATCATGCTGCCCGTGGGAGCCAGCTGAGGTCATTCAATTAGGATGAACTGCAAACAGAACAGGGCAGACAAACCCCAAAAGCTGGTGGATATTCCAATACTTAGATTTACCCAAGCCAGCACAAAACAGCTTCTATAGAACCTCACTGGTTACTCAGAGTCCAAACAATGCAGTTCCCTTGAAGTCCCCTGCTTCAGGCCTCCATCCAGACACACGTCATATATGATGATGATTACTGAAAATCTTATCTCATCATATAAAAGAAAATGTGCTTCTGATCCCAAAGGACCAGCCATACACCCAGGTCAATATAAAACTTATAAAACTTATAGATCTTATTCCAAATAGACGCTTAGAGCCGATTCTTATTAACTAAACTAAAATTTATTAAAAAAGAAAAGAGAGGGCGTGTTGGTCAAAAGATCAATATACATACAGACTTGATTTCAAATCTTGAGGTTCAGGTACATAGCAGAGATGAGCTTGTAGTTGCCAAAAGTCCTTTTAGAAATAGTCCATAGGTTATAGTCCCATGTCCATATTCAGGATGACTCCAGTCAGTGACTGGGGATCTCAATCCTTGTGACTTAAGGTTTCCCGCTCTTGAAACCAAAGCAGATCTGAGATGAAGCAGGATCGTGTCCCAGGGTTTTTATACATTTCCAGCAGCCTTTTGGCCTGAGAAAACAATAGGCCTAACTCTCCTTCTCCCAAACATTCCGGCAATTAGCACAGGGTAATTTATCCACTAAACAGTTCGGATACAGGTTCCCACAACCTTCAAAGAGACATGGAGACAATAATACTATTTCACTCAAGTGTCATCATAAATGTTAATATTCCATTTTTGATCGTTGAATCAAAGCTCTAGCAATAGACAAGACTTGTTTGCTTACATCACAAGACCTGAGCAAACCTCTACCCTTCTATCCCTAACAATGCCGGCTGCATTTCAAAGCTCTATTCATTTACAGATCTTCCTAACCAGTCTCCAAAGTTCGGCTCTGGGTCAGGTCAGTCTGGGAGGTAATTAACTCTTTCTGGCCCTGTCACCTTTCAATGAGATATTATATTACACTCATAGCGTCACAGGCCTGTACCATTTTCATGGGTGTGCGAGGAGCCATTGTCCCGTACCATTTGCACAGAAAGGGAATGGGATCGGAGGGGAGTGGCTCATACCAGTTTAAAGGGGAAGGAGGGGTGAGGAGTGAGTAGTCCACACCATTTTCATAAGGATGGGGGGAGAGGATAGAGTGGCCCATACCATTCTCACAGGTGACGAAGGGGTAATAGGGAGCGGCCCAAATCATATTAACAGGTGAGAAGGGGGGAAGGTGTGGGTGGCCAATACCATTTTCAAATGTGAGGAATGGGGAGGAGAGAGTGGCACATACTATTCTCACAGGAGCTTGGTGGAGGGTGGGTAGAGGCGAGTGACCCCTA